AACCATCTTTTCAACAAGTTTATTGTTTTCTGTTTGGTATTAAATTAATATTAAGATCCATTTTGTACTGGTGATCAATTTATTTGGCAATCGCCAATGGCAGTCAGCAGGGTTTAAGAACATCCGTTGTTCGACCTGTTAGTCAAATGCGTTTTGTTAAAATATACTTTTTATACTATTTTTGGTCTTTTCGAAAATGTTGTTAGTGCTGTATTTAGACCCCTCTACCTAGAAATTTGTTTTACATGCACACGTATAAAAATTGTGGTTTTCATCCAACGCAATCATAGGTTTGAACGTTGTTTTCAATTTAGACTTGTTTTATATATATATATTGACACTGAGGAAGGCTATTTGTTAAGCCGAAATATTTGTCAACACGATTTAATAACAACATCTTCGTATAATTCCATCTTATATTAGTATCGTTGTGCAAATCTCTAGACTTATATAATTTTTTCCTTATCTGCACAGTATCGTCTATTCTAGACGATCCGGTACATAGTAAATTTGCAGGTTGGTCCTTTTTTTAGACTTCTATATGATTAAAACAACAATGAGATAACCCTTTATCAATCAAACGGCAAAAAAATGAAAGTACGTTCAAACAAATTATATGTACACTGTAGTTACTAGTACATAGACTTCGTGGTCAATATGCGACATCCTAATTATGGACATCGCCTGGTAAGCTATAAAGTTTGCTGAGTAGTCTCGAAAAATTAGGAAACCTTCAAGAGAAACAATGGCAACCAATGACGAGATTTCTAACTTAAACTAGCTTTGAATATTCAACGTTTATTCGAAAACACAGTCTCAAAAGGACATTATGTATGTATGTACCATATTATGTTTTCTTTTTCTCTCATTTTTGAAATTAAAACAAATAAAACTAATTAACTGTTGCATCATACTTGTACGATTTGTGATTAAATGAGAGATATCAAAAGATTTCCTTATTGTCCAGGTTTGCTATTGTCTAGTATGTGTCATACTTCGATCGTTTGAAAAAAAAAAGGTGATACATAAAAATAAGAAGGTGTGGTACGATGAGACAAGAACAGTGTATCAACCAGTGACCAAGGATGTGAACAAATTTAATAGGTCCATATACATTTTGTACGGCCTTAAACAATGTACAAAACTCGTACGGTGTAGTGAGCTATATAAGACTTCAGTACAACAGGATACTTGTTTTCTTTCTTCATCGACGTATGACAGCACAACACAAGTACAAACTGTAAAAGTCGGTTGAAAAGGGAATTTGTCTCATTACCCCCTCCCCCCCCCCCCCCCCAAAAAAAAAAAAACGTAAAAAAAAAAACTAATAGAACGACAAAAAACAAAAGGCCGACGTAAGAGTACTCGCAGTTACTGAAAGCTAGTTCAAATACATATATAAAAAGACATTGATTCTCAAACTAAGATATTATGTCTGCTTTTTCTTTTATCAAATTCTTTGAATTGTTCAGCAAATAAATGCACTGAATTGAACAGCAAACTTCAATTCGTAACGAAAATTTCAAAGGTTGTTGATTTTTCTGTGATCTTTCTTTTTTTCACGATTAGAGAAACAACAGACTTTAAGAGACGGTAAATAATTTCATTAATGAGCTACCTTCGAGAATTCTTTACGTAACCACTAACACAAAAATAGATTTTTATAAACTTTTCAGCATGTTAGTTATGTAATAATCGAGTCGACAAAAAAATCGGTTACTAAATTTTATTATATGATATGATCATGATACAAAACTATCAATTTTAAAAATCCACACCAGTTTTCCATCAAATCATTCCTCCATACAGATATAAGAATCTGATTAAAATATAAGATAAAGGAAGTGTTCAATGAGTGATAATTCTTAGCTCACAAAATAATCATTATCATGTTAATTGTACGCTAGGTAATACTCGACCATGTCGTATGAACATCAGATTCCGAATTGATTTTCAAAAGTTGATAATATTCACACCTACACGACTTAGTGACAATTCATATTTACATTTACAGATCAAATTTAAATGTCTAGACGTATTTATAAACTCTAAAGCATGTGTTTAACTGCCAGATAAAAGAATTCCAGTGCTGTCCTATTTGTATTCCCCAGTCAACCAATGTATATACAAGCAACATAATCAGTAACGTTGAAACACTTTTGGAGATTGAAGTATTGCAAATATTTTATTACGGTGCATACAAGAAAAATAGCTAAACAACTAAATTTTTCTGAATCAATTTTGTCTGACTTTAGGGGTGAAAAAATACTTATACAATTCTTAAATATTTTAAGATACTCTGATATTATAAAGTATTTTATTAATTTTGATGTATTAACAAATTATTTTTTTTAAACGAAAAGGAACACAAAAATAAGCGTACTATGCTGCAGCCAGTTTCAATGTAACAACTCCGTAATATGACAGTTGTTTTCCATTCGTTTGATGAGTTTGAGCTTTTGATTTTACCATTTGATAAAGACTTTCCGTTTTGAATTTTCCTTGGAGTTCGGTACTTTTTTTATTTTACTTTTTTCGTAATACTGGTATAAAATTTCATTTAATAGATTATTAATGCAGTTTTAAATTGTTTTCTCGTGACGAACAAAAAAAATCTGCTTGTCGAGTCATACAATATAAGATTTGAAATGTTTGTTAATCTTATATAAAATATATCTTAAATAGAACTAAAAATTCATAGCTATATTAAGTATAAATATTGCTGTATGTAGTTTAATTTACAAAGTTTAAACCAAAACATATTATTAATTCCAATAGCCTAATATATAGGACGCCAAAAAAAAACTGGAAATCCTAATCTATTAAGATCCGAGTCGAATTCACTGTGCTGCCATGAGTGAGGTTCGAATTCACAACATCAGTGTTGACAAGCTTGACAATGTGATCACTGTAAACTAACTACCTAGACCACTCGGCAACCGAAGCCCCTCAAACGGGCATTGATAACTTTTTTCAGGAGCTTATAACATAAAGACAATTAGAATAGTTATTACAAATCCCATAGCCAACCGTAATAAGATGATCCAATGTTCTCTTTAAGGATAAGCACATCTTGAATCAACGATCAGTCTTTATGGTAAAAAGAAGCACACGTCGATTATTTATGGCGACCAAATTACTATGCAAAAACTTAAACAACTTTTTACTCTTGTAGCATCTCCTTTTCTTGAAAAGTGAATTAGAGAAAACTAGGTATTTGGGTATCTTGCTACTGGAAAGTAACTTCTCCTTCAGGCACTTCTATAAATGACTAACGTTTAAGTCATAAATGGTCTTCTCTGTCACATTTACTATTATAATTAATTTCTTTTTTTAATTTGTTATGTGACATAATTTGGGTGTGGTAGTGCCCTCATCGTTTGAAGGCAAACTATTTAAACACTGATTCCTAATAGTTAAGTTGACGTCATCCCTTTTAAAATTTAACGGACTCCATCATGATTTAGTTGCCGTTATGGAAAAGCTTGTGTCATAGATAACCACGTATATGTTTCTATATTCGTAGCCCCAATTCCGTCCAATTTTTCTCGAGCTTGACATAATTGAATGCCGACTGAACAACCATATTAACTTTCCAAGCGGTGAGCACCTAAGATAATCCTGGTTTTTTGTGGGGTTCCTGTTATTCAATTTTTAGTTTTCTTTGTAGTGTACTGTGACTGTTGTGTGTACTTTTGTCGTGTTTCTACATGTATTTGGCCATTATACTGGTATTGCTTTTGTTTGACGTATTATGGTTTTTGATTGTTCCCTTTATGTCTTCTGCGATTTTTTTTAAAAGGTGAAAATAACTTTTTAGTTGTCAATAAATCTGTTTTACTTTCAAGTTTGATATCTCTTTGCAGTTAATAAATCTGTGTTACTTCCAAATTTAATATATCTTTGCATTAACTGATCTAGACGATACATTATGAATATATATAAAAAAAACTCTATCAACACCCAAATCTCCGTAAATACAATAATGCAGGATATTTTAACTAATGAAATTTGAGCATTATTCTGATATCATCGAACTCCATCGGAAACCTAACCAATTCTTCGTTTAACAATGGCTTCATAGTGTTCCTCGGGGGAGTTAAGACAAGTATTTTGAAAATTGATGTATATGTTTTGAGGTTTCATAAAGAAATGATTATTTTCTAGGATTGTGGTTAATTATTTCTTTGCTTTACTTAATACTTTCATAATCGTTCAGCATGATGTTTTTGAAATACAATCAGAATCCATTCAAATCTCTTCCATAATGATTGACAATATTAAACATAATACCCGTCGATAGACATCAAATTAATTTTTGTTATAAAAGCTATATTCTGAATCTTTATGAAATTGTGATTACACCAAATTGAATGCAGCATTTAATGCATTGTATGATTTATTGGTTTCAGTCTAGAATGGATACATGCATAACATATTGTGTCTGTACTAAGTTTATCGACAGTATGTGTTGTGTGTTGGTCTTTGTTTGTGCGTCTGTTTTCCCGAGGAGACGGGTATTGTGGTTGATATGGTCTGTTTTACTGTCCTGTATTTTTAGTGAGTCTTGTTATCCTTTTTATGTATTTGTAAATGTACATGAATTTGAAAACTGTAGACAATGTCTTTTCAAAATACCAATGTAGTACATTTAAAAGTATGTTCATCTAGAAATTGGAAAGATGCCAGTTTGCACAAGTTAAACAGCTACCTATACACATGTGACAATGTTTTAACGCAGTGTAGACATTTTCTTTATGTTTCTACTTTTCGCTGTTTTATTTTTGATAGTTGGCTTAATTTACTCTGAGATTTTGGTTGGATGAGGTTATTGATGTTTCAATTTAGAAGGTAAGAAGTATCATCGATATCCCTTTTATGGTACCCTTTTGAGACTGTTTTAATGTGGTCGTAGAACATAAAACGTAATTGTAAAGGGTTAAGACTATCCAGGTTTAAACACATGCAAAGTATAGTTGTCAATAATTTTACACTTTCAGGTAGGCATTACAGAAGATATGTCTATAGACCATCAGCACCAGAAATACTTCCAGATGCAACAAATATAACCGTCCATAGTAATGAAAAGGTCATTCTAAAATGTACAGTCAGAAACAGAAGGACAAAGGATGTAAGTATTTGATGTCGTTAATAGCTGTATAACTATCTACAATAATTTTATGAAGAACATTTATAATAATGATAGAAATAACAATATTAGAAACTATGCTAACATCAATGATGATAAGAGCATAATTTTTATAGTAATCCTTTCAACAGAACTAAGTTTTGATGTATAGCGCTTTTCTTTCTGGATAAGTACCATGAAAGTATAGATGGACAGAGTATTTTTTAACGCTTGGACACCAAATTTATATATACTACATGCAATGTTATATGAATGAGGTTCTTAATAGACAGCTTAATCTTTGCAGGAAGGGGATAAAACCTTAGTTTTGACAATTCATGAAAGTGATTGATTAATTCATTGTTTGTAGCTTAATGTCTAGTCTCAATTATTTCATGCATGTTCAGGACGAGTCTTTGACAGTTGAAAGTCAGTGGAAACGTCTACCCATGGGTTTAATTTTGCCACATGTTTCACATTTTGACAGTACAAAGTCAGTGGAAACGTCTACCCATGGGTTTAATTTTGCCACATGTTTCACATTTTGACAGTTGAAAGTCAGTGGAAACGTCTACCCACGGGTTTAATTTTGCCACATGTTTCACAATTTGACAGTTGAAAGTCAGTGGAAACGTCTACCCATGGGTTTAATTTTGCCACATGTTTCACATTTTGACAGTTCAAAGTCAGTGGAAACGTCTACCCATGGGTTTAATTTTGCCACATGTTTCACATTAACTAAAATTGTCTCTGTCTGTTGAATGGGAGTAGCACTCGCTTGGTAGTCAGTGTGCTTTGTTTCTCGCACAATTCAAATAATACAGGGGTATTGTACATTTTCAGTTTATAAAGTATGTATATTGTGTGTTTAATCACAGGAAAAGTGGAGATAAAGCGATTTTGCCACTTGTGTTTTGATCCCATTCGGTTTGGTGATGTTAAGGATTATTTATTTTACATTCAAAACTTGTCTAGAACAAACCTGATCAAGGTAGTCAGACCTGTATATAATGGTTACCCTTGGAACCAGAGGACAATGACCTTTAATTTTACACTGACGGTTCATTTTCACGTAATGTTATGTAACGCATGTCTTACAACAATCTACTTTATACTACACTTCCACACAATCTTAACAAACAAAAGTTTTCCTATTTAATTAAATGGTCTGATTGCAAATTTATTTGCTGCAACTCATATATAGCTTTTTCTCAAATGAGAAATAAATTTGCTAGATATACATACTGGGGTTGTCTCCCTGACAACATTTATGTACGTTTAGGCAAAAAAGTTTATCGACAGGTTGTAGGTATTCCTATGGGCAATGGGCACCAATTGTGCCCCTTAAATAGCAGACTTGTTCATGTACTGTTATGACTCATAGTATGTGACCAAACTCAGTAAAGACCCGTCTTAATTCCATTTAATTGATAAAAGAGGGACGAAAGATACCAGAGGGACAGTCAAACTCATAGATCGAAAACAAACTGACAACGCCATGGCCAAAAATAAAAAGACAAATAGACAAATAATAGTACAGATGACACAACATAGAAAACCAAAGACTAAACAACACGAACCCAACCAAAAACTGGGGGTGATCTAATTCGGTAGGTCACATTCGTGAAAAGGGAAGGGAATTGTAGTTACGACATAAGGAACATATCCGATATTATCTTTGAAACGGTTATTCCATAACGGTCAACCAACTCGTGATGGCGTCCGTAAAATTTATGAAGGGATGACTTCAACTTCACCATTTGGTTTAATTGCTTCCTTGTGAGCAGCAATCCTCTATCAAGGAAATCATGATAGGAAATACAAGCCCGGGAATATCGTATCAATTGGGAGATATATACTCCGTATGCAGGCGCTGCTGGAATGTTGCTACATAGAAATGGAAAGTTCACAATTGGGAAGCTGAAATCATCTCTTTTGTCGTAAAGTTTTGTTTTCAACCGACCCTCATTGTCAATTTCTAGATGTAAGTCAAGATATGAGGCAGACTTAACTGTATCTGTAGTATTCTTTATCTCTAGTTCGATAGGATAGATTCGTTCAACATAGTCACCAAATGTTGTATTATTTAGTGAGAGAACATCATCTATATAGCGGAACGTAAAGTTAAAGGATATTGCTAACTTCCTATCTTTCTTCCTAAGAAGTTTCTGTATGAAGTCAGCCTCATAGTAATAAAGAAACAAGTCGACAAGAAGAGGGCACAATTGGTTCCCATTGGAATTCCGACAGTCTGTTGAAAAAACGTCCTCCAAACGTAACAAATATGTTGTCAATCAAGAAATCAAGCATCTTGATAATGTCAGTTTCAGAGAATTTTTTGTTTGAATCAGAGTGATGCTTTACAAAGTAGGATTTATCCCTCTCCAAGACAAGATACTTGTATCTACGTTCGCCATTCTTTTTAATGAAACAAAGTAATACTCTCTAAATATACTGCCGAAATTTACCCAAAGGAACTTACTTTGAATAAATTAAATATAAACAGCAATAACTGTCCTTTCCTAGATTTAGATATTTCAGTTTTACAAAGAAACTCTACACAAAAATTTACGACAAAAGGAGTGATTTTACTTTCCCTATTGTTAATTTTCCTATTTTGGAGGATGATGTTCCTTTGGCGGTGTTTATATATCCCAACTTGTTCGCCATGCCCGTGTCTGTAGTGACGTTTTGGATTTCAATGAGCGTAATCTATGTATTACTGGTAAATTATTAAGTCAGGGATTTTGTTACCAAAAATTACTTAAAACCTTTACTAAATTCTTCCATAAATACTAAGATTTGGCTTGCAAGTTTGGCCGTTCCTGTAAAAAACTTATTCAAACGGAATAGCACATCCTTAATTTTACTGTGATGTTGTTTACCAAGCCCGGAAATGTAGATACGATCCGGGTAAACTTATCAATCCTTTAAATAAACTTATTCTAAAAGGTTACCAATTCAACACTACAATTAGATCTTTGAATATTGTTTGTATTGGTACAAATATTGATTTTGTTATCATTAAATTAAAACCATACTAAATATTATTGTTATACATATATGCATTTTCACGGTTCTACAATCTGTCGATACCTATATTTTGGCATTGCACAAGGTCATGTTTTTCTCTGACTGTTAATGAGGTCTTTACACTAAATCCATTGGATGTTGGATGTGTGCTAATTGATATTTTAGTCTTAGATACATGATTTTTTCATTAATTGTTATTGGCTTTGAACTAGCTGTCAGTAAATGCGAGTTCTCTCAGATCTGTACTTTGTGTTTTTTTCTTTTGTTTTGTTAGGGATGTATAACTACACTGCCACGTCCGGTCTGTGTTTTTGTTAGATGTGTTTCTTCTTTGTATCGATCGGATAAGTTAAGCCCTTTTCAGCTGATTTGTATAGTTTGTTCTTATGTTTTGCTGTCACACCACTGTCCCAGGTTAGAGGAGGGTTGAGCGCTCACAACCATGTTTAATCCCGCCGCATTCTTTATGTCCCTGTCCTAAGTCAGGAGCCTATAGTTCAGTGGTTGTCGTTGGTTCATGTCTTTTATTTGGTTTTCGTAAATTGCTTTGTTATAAATTAGGCCGTTAGTTTTCTCAATTGAGTTGTTTCATATTTTTCATGTCAGGGCCTTTTATAGCCGACTATGCGGTATGGGTTTTCTCATTGTTGAAGGCTGTACGGTGACCTATAATTGCATACGTCCACTTCATTTGAACTTTGGTGGAAAGTTGTCTCATTGATAATCATACCAAATCTCCTTAGTTTTACATCTGCGTTACATTGCGATGGTTGAACATCAAATTAAGTAATTATGAGCTTGGAACCATGTGATATTGAACATCTATTAAAGGAGAACAGCGTGCTGAATTATAGTAGGGTTTTCTATCAAAAAAAAAAATACAAGCACCTTGATCGTAACTTATAATACAGGGTTCATATAACGTATCTAAACCATGATTTATGAATAAATCTGTAAACAAAATAGGCCATTAAAACATTCTTATTATAAGTTATCACGTAATTAGCAAATTACATTGTATGTATAATCACACGGTAAATTGTAATTTATAACTTTGAACTTCAGATACAACTATGACATTTCCAGAGCACCTGATATCACCCCAAGTTTTTGGTGGGGTTCGTGTTGCTCAGTCTTTAGTTTTCTATGTTGTGTTTTGTGTACAGTTGTTTGTCTGTTTGTCGTTTTCGTTTTTAGCCAAGGCGTTGTCAGTTTATTTTTTGAATTTTGAGTTTGAATGTTCCTTTGGTATCCTTCGCCTCTCTATTACAATCATGATAAGACGTTTATATACTAAAATAAACAGTCACATTGTTGAAAGATTTCATTGCTGTCATTTCTATTTTCTTATTATATTTTTCTATGTTTTTGATTGTTTGTATTGGTTCGTGATTTCATTTCTTTTCGTTTTGTTTTAAATTGTATGATATTGCTGTAGTTTGTTTTCATAAAATTGGCGATGTTTTATTTTAATGGCATCACCTTGTCCCAATTGTTTTACATCTGTTTTCTCATTCATTTCGATTTATCGTGACAGTTTCTGATTAGCGCCTCGATGTTTTCAAACTTCATATCTGAATATTCTATAGCTATCAGCACCAAGATCATAAATGATTATATATGGAGTTTCTTCCCGGTACAATAATGAGCACAAATGAATGCAATTCGAAACCTCGAACAGTCTTAACATTTATAATTGATGCATATATGCCATTTATGGAAATTGCTAGTGTATCTATATTTAACCAAATGGAATTGTTTTATATTTGATAAGAGCTCTTTCTTCCTTTCCAATCACAATCATGCTGTGTTCTTGTTACAGGTTCAATGGCGTCTTGAACGTAAACGATGGCCATTAACTATCGGTACAGAACCATGGACAACTGATAAAGATATCAGTGTTCTTTATAGTGTAATTAATAAAACTGACGAAAGTTGGGACTTGGTTATCAAAAGTGCTAAACCAAGACATACAAATACATATGAATGTCAAATATCATCGACACAAAGTAATAGACGATATGTATATCTTAGAGTTTTAGGTAAGTTAAAAATGTATATGTAAATTTTAATATTCAACTGATACCACCAATACGAGTTAGTTAACACTTCGGGGAGCTTTTCGTCTCATCAAAACAATGTTATAATATAGAGACAGGAAGAGCAGAGAAGCGAATGTTGTAAAGATCAAAATCCATAGAATATTACAAAGTCTACGAAACTGCAGAAAGACAAAATATAAACACACTAAAATAGAGAGTGAACGAGGAATACAAAACTGAAAGCAAAATCTTTGGCAATGTGAAAATCAATTACACAATACGCGATATCAAGTTATCTGTCCTGCTTAACAATACCAACGCGTCATCAACCAAATGGGACTTTCCTTTAAGAAGTGCTGTATTTTAATCAGTACTATGTATTCAATATTTACATAATGAAACATTCTGTTATAATTGAATTTTTGGTATTATAAATAAAACATGGTAGCGAAAGATAGAAAGATTCGGTGGGTAGAAATAAAAAAGAGTTAGACATATTATCATTGTACGTTATACTGATGTTCAATCATTGCGGTTGGTATATTTTGTGGGTAGAAATCAATTCGCTAATTTTTTTACATGTATGTTTTTACCATATACATAAAGCAAAAGTAGCCTGTCAAAGTCCTGTTAAATTTATTTACCATGTTTCTAGGCTCGGGCCGATTCAGAGCTATTATTATGTAGACACTTAGTCTTGTGTATTGTTGAAGACCGTATGTTTAATCTACATGTAATTTGAGGTTTTATGTTGTCAGGTTGTCTCATTGTTACTCAACATATAAATTTCTTCATACATGCTTGCATTTGTTTAGCAGCGTTCTGTTATGAAATTTAATTTGATTTAATTTAATCCGCGCTTCATTATATTCTTTCAACTCTGAACCATATAGTTTTCTGTCCCTTTTTTGCATCCTACTAATTCTGAGCATATCTTTTGTTGTTTGGATCTGTTTGTTTTTGTTTTACTGGATTTTCTGATTAAAACATGTTTTATTCATATAGTTACATGAACAGGTGCATTATTGGAAAGTACATAATAAAATAATTTCTTTATAAATTTTACTTTTATTGCAGCACAACCTAAAGACAAAAGACCAGGTAAATTAATATCATTTAACAAAACTTCATATCTATTTCAAAATGATTGCTGTTTCTTCAATATCCAGTGGCAAATATTTCAAGCAAATTAAGAATTTGAACATTGTCAATTTCATAATAAATTCAATGGTTATTTTTTCAAAATGGATGAAGGACTTGAATTTCTAGTACCACTGGAAACAGGGTATAATCAACATGATACATGTATATAGGAACATGAATTTAGACTCGCAACAGTCCCCTACGGACCCCTCTAATAGTGTTTGCAAGGGTTCTGTGACGCATTCTAGAGCTTGACAATCTCACTACACTTAACATCGAATTGAACGTCCCCAATATCACCGAAAGATGTTAAGTACTTAAACACCTCTAAAACATCTTATACATCTCTCAAAGTCAAACGGACGCCCAACTTTATAATGTAGGTTTTTTTTTAAATTTTTATACCCAATTCTACCCATCGGGTAATTTAAGTAAATTATAATCCATTGAGAAAAAATCAATGCTATATAATCGTTTTAAATCCCATTCTCCAGATTTGTAAATTCCAAAAACTCCATCGTCATAAAATTAATTGAATGCAAACATATCCCATAAGTTAGGACATCTTTATTTTCAGGTATAAGCTTAACAGGCACAGCCTATTTAGATCTTCATCAGAAGGTTAATTTAACATGTAATGCTACTGGATTATTTCGTGCCCCAGACGATATTGACTGGTTTCACAATGGTAACATCATTGACCAAAAAGATAAACGTTGGGGCGGAAGGTTAAAAATTTACAAACGCATACAAGACGTCCCTGGAAGGATGTTGATTAGTGAACTTATTATTGAAAAAAGCACATTAGAGGACCGAGGAATGTATGTTTGTCGAAGTTCTGAAAACGAAGCTTCAAGTTTCCCAGTCAGTATTCTAGATAGTAAGTATAGCTCTGGTATACATACATTTATTTTTATTAAAAAACGCATGATTTTAAAACGTCTCTACAAAAGTTAAGCATCGTATGTTAATCTAAGGACATTTACTATAAATACAAACAATTTGTTTTGGACGTTAAAGCAAGTCTTTATTTGAAATCTAGTGTCGGACGCTAAAACACGTCTTTATTTAAACCTATTTTTTTCATATTGAAAATGGCTTAATTTGGTGTATGCATTTGGCACTAAAAAGCTAAAATCGGTCCGTGAATTTGCTCGGTAAATTCTTTTCTAAAAAAAACTGATAATTATTGTTATGTGCCACAGCATTAAGCTACATCTGTTTCGCAAGGGAAAAAGGTGGACTCTACGCAAAATAACACGAAAACGCATTGAAGTTAAGAATATTTAAAAACGCTTGCGTTTAATATTGATGCATACAAGGTAATTGCTATAGAGCACGACAGTGGCGAACAGAGTTTCCGATATTACTGTATTTTTAGAAAATTATTATTAAGCATGTCTTGGTCACTATTTTATAACATATCCTGTTTATCACGCACTTAATATAAGAAGTATGAATAAATTGTCACCCATACCCATGTCCATCCTTCCGTTCTTCTGAAATGTAACATTTATTCGGACTTTTTTCGTTACATATTCATATTCATATATTTTAAATTGTTGTTATATGAATGTATAATCGATGACTTATAGTTCCATTTCGATTGACTGGGCACATTGCATTTGCGCCAATTTTTACAAAATCCTATCTTTCATTTGCGCCACAAGGTTATATTTCATTTGCGCCAAAAATAAAAACTACATTTGCGCCATTTTACAGGTAAGATAAAACAGGAAAGTTTAAAATTTTCATTGCTACATCGTGAATAAGAATTTGTTTTAAGTATTTCCCGTGGGTACGGGGTAACTAAGTAAGTTCATACTTATTTTTTTTATATAAAACTGAGAGTCACGTAGGTTTAAAATTATATAGTGTTCACATGTTTGAGGTGTCAAGATGGACATTGTCAATTCTGAGTTAGTTTCCGTTAGTTTTCTCAGAATTGGATTGTTGCATATTTTTCATGTTGGAGCCGTTTATAGCCGACTATACGAAATTGGTTTTTGAAGGCCGTGCGGTTGTCTATGGTGGCTTTCATCCACATCATTTGACCTTGATAGTGACTCATTGGCAATCATACCACATCTCCTTATTTTTATATAGAGGAAATAAGTCTGTAATTTTTTATGACAACACATAAAGGTTATCCAGTGTAAATTAGTACATCCGAGCAGTTGCTTTCAAGTCTTGTGTTAGAACAAACTTTTGGTTTTACTCCAGTGTATAGTGCTTTCTTTTAGTTTTAATGATCTCGTTAATTTATAACCGAACTGTGTTTTAACATTATCAAAAAAAGTCTCTTATCAAGAACTTATCCGTGTATAGTGCTTTCATTATGGTTAGGATGACTGATTTCGGAGGAATATGTTTTATTATGCAATCAAAAACTGTGCTTTAAAATTATTATTAAAAGTCTCTTTTGAATAAAACTCTTTTTATACTATTTACCTGTACTTACCTGTATTATTGGCGCACATGAAATGTTTTGTTTTGGCGCAAATGAAATATGGTTTGTGGCGCAAATGAACGATTATTTTGGCGCAAATGAAATGCCAATTGGCGCAAAAGTAAAGCACCGGATTGACTGACCTTTCGCGAAATTAAGGCTTAAGAACTTGGAAATTTTCATTGAAACTATACTTTGCATACATTTTTTTTTTTACATTTATAAAATAATGACGTACAGTTAGAGTATGCGTTTCTTTCCGGTTGTCTGACTTTTCACAGACTTAACATTTGAATTTAATTTCTGGTGATCATCATCTGTCCTTCCTGTTGACCGACTCTCGAGGAATCACAGCCCATAGACTTCGAAACGAAACTAAACACAACTGTCATACAATTGGAGGTTCAGCTAGTATATAACCAGGTTTAACCAACCATTCTCTTAGAAAATGCCTGTACCACGGCAAGTCAGATAGATGACAACAGTTTGCCAGTCGACAAATTTTGTGGACTTTCCCCTTTTTGAGTTTACCCTTAAATTCTGTATTTCTATTGATACAATTTCATTAACACTGTACTTGTCCATACCTTTTATGTAACACCTGCAGATCTGAAGTTGATTTTCATACATTAATATATAAAGATGACTTCCATATCGAGTATGTTTTTCGTCTCTGATGACTGAATTTTCACGGAATTTAAGTTTGGTTTTAAATACATTTAATACGTATTGATCAACATTTGATAATTTATAATTACTCATATGGAGAACAAAAATAAAAGCAGTTCCTTTGAAATTTTTATTGTACAGTCTACTATAAATGTCCAGCCATTTATCTTTATAGATAAAATGTTGCCAAGCACATGTCCTAACTCCTTGATAAATATGTTTTCGTTCGCTGCAGACAAACCCCAAGCAATATCGTTATTGTTTGTATATTATATTATATTTACTTCTTGATATGAAGTTAGGTGTTCACAGTTTGCTTGGGGATACCCAACATTTACTCCCACAATACTTACAAAAGAGGAAAACTTGAAAATCATAGGTCAGTTTTGCGTTTCTATGAAATTTTGACCAGAGATGAAGAAAATGGGAGTCAACTGTGCCCCTGTACTTGCATTGTCTACATGTATGAATAATTTTATACAATGGCAAAGTATGAATGAACTTTTTTCAGCAGGATCAACTACTCGATATAATGATATGTACTACAGAGGTAAGGACAAACACGTGACTGGTGTATAAACTCTTTGGTTTGAAATGCTATTATAGTCAACGGTTTTGTTTTATAAGTCTTCCCCATCCATGTTCTTGTATTCGTTTTGTAAATCTATACACCTATCTGCTGAATTCCAATGTATGCACTGCTTTTTGAATGTAATTGTTTAATGTTATTCATTTGGCTTAGATTTCCACCCACACAATAGACTAAAGTAAGGCAATACATACCTCGTTTAATAACCTATTTGTACAGTTTAAAACGTTATAATATTTGATATGATAATCAAACAAAATAAACATAGATATAACAAGAATGATTTAAACGTTCAACACAAGAACAAGGTGTTCCAACAACCAACCACATATATGAGAACACCGGTGCACAGATAATTACAAACAAGCAAACACACACACACAACTACAAAACAAAAGGTTCATTGTGACAGCTGATGGAATTTTTTTTAGTGATTATTTCGTATTTTGTTTTAACTTATCATGGATTAATTTAAACAGATTGACGTATGATAAATGCATTTGTGTATTATTGCTGAAGACCTTTAGACGCCTTCTTTTCTTTTTCTTAGTGATACAATTCCAAAACATTCTAAACCTAAATAGTTAACTCGAATAATTCAGTCCCAGTTAATGGTGGAACGGTAGTATATATACTTTCAGGTTGCTCTTTTGTGTATCCTACTTGGCTCAATATATCTGAACACGGTGATTGGACAAAAAATAAAACATCTTCTTAACACAATTTTCCAAGCTTAGGGATGAATCAGGTGTAAAACATATAATCTTTTTATAAAATGCCGGTGAAAATTAATTTTTGAGAATTTGTTTTAAATTTTGTATTCACTGCCTGTTAAAAGACCGGAAACTACTAGTGGTCTTAGGTTTATAAAGATAAAAAGAAGACCATCATCATACATATCCGCATTTATTTCTGAATAGTATAATGATAGTACTTCAGTTAACTGTATATGTAAGTTCTGGGTCAGTGTTAGAATTAGTGAACATTCTAAAAAAGGCTACCATTATCTCATGGCACAGAAAATACAAACGTTCAACCTAATAGTCATCGTAGATCAGCAGAATATAACGACTGAATTATTCAGGTAACTAAATAGTACTAGTGGACTGAATGATTCTGATTGGCGAAAACAAATATGTGTGATTTTAACTGCATACACAGATTTGTGAATCATTCTTTTATTCGAAAATACATTCTGTTAGGGTGAAGGTTTCATTTAGAATTTTAAAAATAGCTATGAAAGTAAACATTTCAGTTAGATACAACGATCTCTATATTCATTTCAGATGGGGTACCAAACAAAACAAAAAGATATGGTAAGTGATATGTACACGAATATATACGAACAAACTTTAAGTTTACGTTTCAACCTTTTCCATATGGGACCAATAGATGACCCACAAATATATGTATATACCATTATATGAGATTACTTCAAGTTTTTACATTTCGTATAAAAGTACAGAATAATTTTGCACCAATTTTCATCTACATTGTTGAATCATGATAAGTGTATACTCTAAATAATTTGATAATTTCATTCCATTTCCAAATACAGCTTAAAACAAAACATATTTCACTTTGATTATTAAAGATTTTTTTTTAAGGTCAATATTATACCAATGAAAATGAAGTTAATGGAGGTATTGGCAAACACAAATTCGGTTATTATGAATTAGAAAAAAAAATTCAGTATCATATAATTCAGAACCTATCATTTAAAAAAAATATTACCCTGACAACCAAAAATAACGAAATTTCATATTTCTAAACCATTTTGTACTACTTTACACATGGCATTTATATTTTAATGCTTTCAATCAATATCCCGCTGTAAAAACAGACGAATAACATACAAATTTTGCCCTTATTTACAGAATAAATATGAGTCTTAGCCGGAGAAACATCGGTTTTCCGACGACTTAAAAATATCAGGCATATATAACGCGGAACAATTTGTCAATTACAATCATCAGCATTCTAGTATTTCATACATGTTTTTTTCTCAAATAAGAATTGAACATACCAGATGGAAATTTCGAGTATAAGGTAAACAACAAGAAACTTACAATATATATATATTATCAACGATAAAAATATCTTCGAACTTCGTCTTGGCAAAAACATGCAACATAAGACAACCAAAATACAAGTATAACGAAAATAAAACGTATATGTAATATTTAGGGTGACTTAAAAATAACATTAACGCTATCAATTTCACTGCACCAAAGGCGCATTTCGACATTACATGTCTCTTCAGTGATTATCGAGGCCAAAATATTTGAAAATCCAAAACTTAATAAAAAATTGGAGAGCTGATATAATAACAAAAAAAGACAAAAAGTATAGTCAAAGCGTCATTTGAAAAACAAAAACAGAAATGTATTTCAGTTGAACATTTTTTGAAAGGTTTAACTTTTAACTGCGATTGTCACAGCAAATGATTATCATAGTAATCCCAGTTGTTTCTTCAGTACAAATAAACAATATCAACAGGTTCATTTGAACTTAAAAGCTGTCATATTCTATACACATGTTACGTTAAACTTGAATATTTGACAAATCTTGAATATTAAGATAAAATTATCAATTCCACCAGCGGACAATTTTGCATAACCCATTATCTAGAATTTACTGAGAATTCTTTATTTTAATTGTTTAAGGTACAGAAAAGGTTTCTGAAAACAAAGAAGACGACAAGAATTCAAACAGTGCAGCATTTAATTCTATAAATGTTGTGTTAATTACTTGTATTTGTGTATTTGTGTCGTGTAATAGCTGATAGTAATAGAGTCAGACGAAATAGATTCATTAACAAACCTATGTGCCTTTTTACCAGTGGTGTTTGTGCTCAGGACATTAGAGGCCGGGTTATGGATTCGGTGGTATGTAATAAGATAAATGCATTCCAGAAAGGCTTTAAATCGAGATGATGTGATAGCACTCTGGACGATGATTAAATTACTGAAATGCATGATCCAATATATAATGGATTAGACGTGACATTGATGTGCCATAAAAACCAGACTTCAACACTATTTGCATTCATACAGCAATTAATGCAAATGTTTAAGACAAACAATCAAGTGTTTGGCAATACAATGAAATAAATTGTATTTGTCTGTCAAGACACTAATGGATATTATCTTTTGATCTGATATATACGAATAAAAAAGACAAAACGTATTGTCAGAATGATTTAAATGTAGTTGAAAAGAAATTCAAACCGATTATTATGTTGAGTTTTCTTTCTATGAATTGTCTATAGCATTGTGTATCTTTGTCGATGGAATAGTACAATCCATTACGATTGCCAGAAGCAGTCATCCAAAATGAATATATCGGCCATTGAAATCGTTTCTTTTTTCTTGTATAAAAAGCTGTATGCACAATTTTTTTTACTAATGCAAATTAATCTAAAAGGTTTAAGATTCTGACATTTATAGCGGTGAATATGTACACTGTATACAGTATCTAGTTTAACGTTTTTCTTTCGTGTCGTTCGCCAGAATATTAATTGAAACCTCCAATATTGCACTATAGAATCCATATTAAACATGATAAAGGATTAATTACGATGCTAGCATTATTAGGCGTATTAAGGCTGATTTTATGTAAGTTTGGTCAAAGATATTTTGTATTAACGTTGTTATTGGTGTATGGTATCATTAGTCAGTCAGACATCTACTTTTAAGAGTTTTTATAATACGTACGCTTGATTTCAAACTTTATCATTCCATCAAAGTATTTGATTTTTTACACGACGTAATTTAATCTTTTGCTGGGCGTAAAATCTAAACCAGTTCGTTGAGCAAAGGACTGAATATTTTAATAGGAATAAATTTCCATATTTCGGCTATGATAAATGTGAAGATTGATAATCACAAGAATTGCGTCATGCTGTTATTATTGAAAGGGGCACAATAATAGTGTCAGTCCACGGATGCAGAGATCCAGTATGTCAATGCAACGCTCAAATGACATTAGAAAACAGCTATAGGAAAAGAGTGTTATTTTCTTGTAGTGGAAATATTATGAGTGTAGCTTATTACTGAACTATTACAATTTATAATTTTGATATTTTGTTGATTTAAAAACACGATCGTCTACAAAAGTTTACAGTATAACTAGTACAATGCTTTAAACCAAAAATACACAATTACAAATTTATGTCATATGTCTGTGTGGGTATATTTTATAACTAAATCATAAAATAGATTGAATCTCAAAATGTAACATACTTTGCAAAAAATTGAATAAAATACTGATATTCCTAAGAAAATAAACTTTTTAAAATGAGATTTCCGATTTTTTTTTTGTTCGAGCTATTCCAATTATTTTCATTTATTGTCCTGTACAAATCATATATATCTATCAACTTTGCTCAAGATGTAATTCTCGGTCATTACTGGAGATGAAAAGGAAACGAAACTAAAGATATTTTTTACGGTGATTCGAAGAAAGATAAATAGATACTTTATTCTCTAAAAACTAAGTTCAAGTTCACAGAGAAACATATACTATCAATAAAATCAACGCAATAAAGTTGAAGGTGAACGAATATTGATTAAAATATGAAAGTATAATTTGTGATACGTCACATTCGTTGATGTTTATGGCTTTCAAAACTTGGCTACCACTATTATTAGATAAAAGAAGATTTGTTGAAACTCTTTACGAAAAATCATGTTTAAGATGTAGTGCTACCAAACACATTATAGATATGTGGCTGAATTGTGGTTGAATACACAAACCGTCATAAACCAAGACTACAAGATTATTTAAACAACAAATTTCAGTATTAAAACCTTTAATGTCTGTAAAAGACCAATTGCATCTTAACCTTTCAAATATTTCTTACTGGAGTTGTTCGTCTTTTCGTCGTTTTTCTTTTTGGCCATGGTATTATCTTTTTACTTCAACTTGGGATATTTAGTAGTCCCCTTGGCATACCAAAATCCAAAAAAAATCCAATAATTGTCTTAGGCTTGTACAAAACTTTGGAGAAATACTTTAATCATTCTCCCTAAGAATATTGGTTAATGGTAAAAATCGTCGTAGATCATGGTTACAATCATTCCTAAATTTTTTTTTTCCCAAATTGACACGATAATTCAATAACAAAAAATATGAACAGGCTGTATAAAGTTAATTGGCACAAAATTTAGATTTTATAGTACGTGTGTAATCCCGTTTAAAAATATGGTTGGTGGCCTCCTTACTCGCCATCGTAAATGGCTGCATCTTTACTACAAGTATAGATTTGCCAAAAGTTAATAAAATTTCCTACAAAATTCTGCTCATGATGAAAAACAACAACACGTTAAAAAAAAAAAATAGCCCAATACAGTGTAACTCCTTTTTGGAATTATTCCTCATAAAAAAGTTTGCCATAAAAAAAATTGCATCAACTGTTTCTGTTACTTAAAATGGAACATAGGAGAAAACAATATCAAAAACATACAGCCAGCTTGCTCCAAATTCTGCTTAATAAGTGCTGTTCATTATCTTTTAGAACTTTGACAACCCCATGCTTATTTCTTTCAAATCATCTTAATCATTAAGTGTCATAATTATGTATTAAAAAAATATAAGCAACTTGTGCATTACAGGGTACCTGTTGTGTTAGTGGAATAAACTTCGATAATTCAATCCCTTTTTGTAAGTGACTGCATGATGTCATCTTTCTCACTGTCCTTGGAAATAATATACTGCAATTTCATTGTTGAAGAGGACCGCAAAACTTATTAGGGACAAACTTAATATAATCACGTTATATGTGTAATAAAGTATACATTTTCCATTAAGAATACATTGTTTGACATGTGTACTTTAGTATTGTATATACATGTAACATGACTTTGTTTTAACATTGATCAAGTTGTTTTGTAATGATAATTTTGAAATAAAATTTATTTTGATAACTTGATTTTGCCCTACAAGCATATCAAAGCAGACTGTTAATTTCATGTTCTTATTACATTGTACTTCGGGGTTTGTGTTGCTCAGTCTTCATTTAGTTTCATGTTGTCTATAGACGTATTTACACTTGTATGCAAATTTGTCCGCCATTACGTAAAATCACACAGATTCCCGTAAACTTTGACATCATAATTCAAAACATTTGACGTCACAATTAAAAAGTGATTGTTGCCTGACGTCAAAAGGTGATTCGGAGTAGATCTAAGGTCATTCGGAGGCAAAATATAGCTAAATACCAAAAGTGTAAATACGTTTATTGTTTTTTCGTCATTTTTCGTTTTTATGCCATGCCATATCGGAGACGGTAGTTTACCAATGTTCAAATCTCGTTAACTTTTAACTTATGATATTTTGTTGTCACTTTGGTATCTTCTGTCTCTTTTTTGTTACAGGTTATCTGTTTAACTACCGTCTATGACTTTACACGGTCTGGATTTTTGTTTAATGATTATTTCATCAGGGGGAGGTGATATTACATGTTCTCGGCACTCATCAAATGTTTGCTTTAAATACTTTTAGCCCGGTGTCCATCTACAAATTCTATATTTTTCGTATCAAAAGTTCGATAAAGTATGAAAAATAAAATACCGAAAGGTACAAATACAAAAACAAACCTACAATGGTCCTTTCACGAGTAAACTTTAAGATTATGGATACGCGGTAGTTTACCGATGTTCAAATCTCGTTAATTGATTAAGAAGAGACAACTCAAGGTAACACATACAAGATGAGGGAATAGCTTATACAATGCCAACTTCATTATAAACCGTTATTATTCATTCTTATATGAATTCATTGAAGAACAAGACAAGACAAACTGTTGCTTTCAATTTTTTCAAAAACATGACTATAAATGTGTGAATCATAAATATGACGTCAAACAGAAAGGTAATGGCTGATTTTAGATCCTTTATTTCGATACTCTATTTGTCAGTTACTTCGGGTAAATATGATGTTTGACAGTCCAATAAATTTCTATACATTGTACTAGAACATACTATATATAACAAAGCCTGATACATGTATCTCTGATTTTTTTTTACAAAATCAGACATCTTTCTTAAGCAGTCATACAATAATGTAATCACTGTCTACATTAGGCACATGACCTGAAGATTTGTTCTAAGAGCGAAAACTTTTAGAAAATCTGTAATATCCCAGGGAATATCGCGTAATTCCAAGATTATTTTAAGATGGAAGAAATTCTACAATTTTAAAATCCTAAAGATCCTCAAATTAAGCAAATATCAACAGAAATATCGAATGACCACTTTTTACGATATCTTTACACTAGATTGGTTGGAAGTGTACGGATTGATATATTAGTCTTGGAAAACATGATATTTGTATTTGTTGAAATTGGTCCCAAGCTTGCACTAGCTTTCATTTATATTGAATACTCTTAGATCGTTTCTTTGAGACTTATGTCTTTTTGTTAGTTGTTTTTCGTGTATTGTTTTAATATAAACCAGGTCATTAGTTGTCTTTTTTGAATTGGTTCATATTTTGTCTTGTCTGGGCTTTTCATAGTTTACTATACGGTATAGGTTTGGCTCATTGTTGAAGGCCATACAGTGACTTATAGTTGTTTACATTTATAGCATCGTCCTTTGGTCAATTGTGGATTGGTGTCTCATTGGCAATCATGCTACATCTCCTTATATTCATTACTATATTGCGCCATCATGATAGCATGATATGATTTCCCACAAACGTATTTTTGCAGTCTTCACCAGGTATGTTTTTTTGGAAACGTTTGAAAGCCACCAGTATACAACTTTTGAAAGCAAAACCACAAATAGACACGAACAGCTAAATCATCTGAGGTCAACTTTGCAATTTTTTTTTCTAAATCAAAATTATGAACTAGAAGAGGGACGAAAGATACCAGAGGGACATTCAAATTCATAGATCGAAAACATAGGAATGTACAGGCACAATATATATCATAAAAATCATGCCAATATCGACACATAAAGCTATTGAACTTATAGACACCACCAGCGGTACCGTACCAGTGGTAGTAAAACTCTATAACTTCTCATCCTTAACTCGGGGACATTTAAAAATGTATTCAGCATGAATAAGCAATAGGATGTGCTGATGTCTACGCGTTTACCACCATTAATTAATGAGTACACTAACACCTACATAAAGACTGATCAGGAAATGTCATAGCAAAATCCAAGTTGGCGATTGTAAGAGTGGTGCATTGGCATTGAGTTCTAAAACTATTTATTATTATTTTCTTTTATTTAATACAAATTTATCAATGAATTAAATCAACGACCTCTCCGAACTCGAGGTAAACACCCTCACGTAATATCTACGAGGTACGTTTTTAGAGAATGAATAAAAATAACACTTTATAAATTTCGTGCGTCCAAAGCGTTTTCTTGTATTACCTTCCTCAGGGACGCTCAAACCTAAACATGTGTAAGCTAGAAATGCATAAATACAATTAAACGTTAGGAGATTATGATCAATAGATACATGTGCATAAAAAATAGCCAAACTTCCACTTCCTCAAATAGATTCACATTATTTCGTAACACTTCAGAGCCTTATGCGAATCATCCTTTATGTGAAGCCCCTAATGTACCGATAAAACAACGTTTTCAAGCTTTTTAAAAATTTTAAAACTATAATCACATGCATGTTGGAAAATAGACTCTTTATCTAACTATTTAAATCTAACTATTTAAGTACTCAACCCCCTTCAGTTCTTAATATCGACCACTGAAATTATATAACGTACAAATGGAACGTAAAGTAAAATCCTTTCCTATAGAAGCACTTCGCTCTATAATATAGTAAGTGTAGTATGAGTTGTTAGCATAACAACCTTGCAAATGTTTCGTGTATTCTACAAATTAATCTGTTTGCAGCAGACTTTAATAGTAAATAAACTTTTTACGACATTTAAATATTAGGATAGAAATCAATATACAAAAATCGTAACTTTTGATCGATCTTTTTTCGATTTGATACTTTTGAAAACTGAAAATACCAAATAACACAAATAAAGATGCTATAAAGACAATACTTATAAAAGAAATGCCAAATAGTAAAAACTAGTAGTAAAATAAAAACAATGGTCATAAAGTTCAATACAAGTAACTCTTGTATACAACACTTTAAAATTATTCAGAAAAAAACTTTGAAATACAACATGAATATATCAGAAAAGATAGCACAAATATGTCTACATTGACGAGAAAATGATTGGCTGCATCTGTGCTCGTCTGTATATTTCATTACATCCAAGATAGGAGTATGTAGGAACGTAATGACTGTTCGGTACTGTATTATATACATCTATAAAATCTTAAAAAATAAATCCTGACATGTGGGATTGACAAATTATGAAAGGACTTTAAGGGGAAAATACACATATAAAAATATAAACAGGACTGCTTATTCATCGGAAACATTTACTCATGTCTAAATGAACACCAATAATCTAATATGAAGGTGCATAAAATGAAGACTTTAATAATTTGCACAAAGATATAAAATATGAGCACACATATAAAGGTAAACTTAATCTGGCTGTGGGTTAAACTCCAAGAAGAAAACACAACGTGTTTCATTTTTGACAATTATCGAGGTAACGATATGATTGGCCGACATGGGGTGTGAAATGGCACGAAAAGAACGACATGGCAAAGTCAGATTATATGCCAAAACACCGCTAACAAAAACCACAGAGTGGACGTGGCAGGGTACTTATACATCCTCACAACAAAAGGACACTAAGTACAGATCTGTAAGTAATCGCTGTTACTGACAGCTAGGTCATGTTTATTTTTCTTTCATACAATTGAATAAGTAAAAAAGAAGACAGAAAATACTAAGGGGACAATTAATAAGCTTAATTTAGAAAAAAAACAAGATCAATAACATAAACAAAGAGAAGACAAACAGCAGTCTACAACAGCACTTCCCAGAAACTAAAACAAGCAAAACAAGAACCCAATCAAAACCGTTAATTGGTAGACGTACGAGTTTTTTTTTTAACTATTTGTTGTAAATTGGTACACGAATTTCGATACATTTTATTATTTTAATCATTTGATTGGTAATAGAGCTAGAGATCATAAGATCATGTTTACGTGTTTAAGAACAAGAATATGTGTCCAATGAACACAATTCCCAGCTCACACTATCACCTTTCCGTTGTCAATAGACCGCCAAATATGTAGAAACAAAAATAATTTGGGCTTATTTTAAACATGAAAACGTGTCTACTGAGTCTCAAATTGATGTTACTACGACTCATGGTGAACTACCTTAAACCAAAAATTTATAAAATGATACGTCACGGATAGACGGACGGACGGACAGAACGGAAACATAACCACAAATCATTGTCGAGACAAAAACTTACTATGAACAAATTAATTTCAAAATAGACACATAGACGCATATCAGATTACGAATGTATGCATATACTAAAAAGATCAAATATTTTCTATTTTTGTTGAATTGAATTTGATTCTTTTTAATATGTAAATATTATAGTCTGCATGGAAGAGGATCATGTTAGTAGTTTATTCTGTCAAACGAAAACTCTTGAAACTCGTCGAAACATGCAAACATGATTTCGTTATCCTTTTCAAATTGGCCAAAACTAATTGAATTTAAAAGAAATTGTATTTTGTCCCCGAAGAAGTCATATAACTCCGCAACATCACATGTAGCGAAATTCATCATATGGTATTAGGACATTTAAACTAGACTTCCTAATAATCTGAAAATGTTATTAGGAAATTGGACGAATCAAACGACATTTGATGTTTTTTTTTTTATCTCAATGAATAAAGCTACATTACATCAAAACAACTGATACAAGTAAAATGATCACATCATTAAAACAAAGGTATGCAAACTCTCAATCTCGATTAAATCGGTCAGGGCATATTTGAATTGTGTTGGAAGT